AATTTCATGGAAATAAATTCAACCTATTATTTATATTGAAACTCAGATTGTAGAACATTAATATTAAATAATTAAAGACTTTTTCTTCTTCCTTTTTAAAATATGAACATCATCATTTAATGAAAAACTATATATCTCGCTATAATTATTTGTCCATTTTACCACATCACCTCACTAGAGCAAATATGATTTGCTAGCCTATCCTGACACTTTTTCCAAGTCACTGCCTTCCAGAACACCATTACCTCTCCTGCCATTATTTATACCTGCATCATTTTAATATGAAAATACATTCGGATACCTTGTTCAATTTTCTTCACTTCCACAGAACTTTGTAGTTCTTGACCTCAAACCTGAAAAATGAAGTGTAAAATTAAAACAACAAAAGCTGTCAGTGTGGTATATTGTCCAAAAAAACCCAACAGGAATCTTCCTAATTGTGCAGATCAAAAGACATAAGCCATTTTACATACTAATGAAATCTTATGGGTTCTTATCTGAAAGATTTTTCTTGACCTCATTTCATTTTGATATCCAGAAACTTCTGAAAGAATGCCAGTAAATAAATCTTTCAAAATTCAAATGAGACATTTTCTCAAGGTATGGAATTACCAGACAATATGAGCAAATTTTTATAATTTTTTTCTAAATTTTTCTAGTAAATTGCTGTATAAAACTGAAAATTTTACATATTAATTGAAATTATTCATTCCAAAATCAGAGAAATAATTGAAAGTCATTGTTTGTTTTCTGATTTCTGCATCTGAGTTGCTCTCTAAACACCTCTTGAGGAATATTAAAGCATACTCACAAGGTATATGAGACAAAAAATTCATGAAAAAATGAACAATTAAAATAAAATAATTTAAAGTATGTTTTACTTCATCTTTTTTTTTTTTTTATTTAAAGTATGTTTTACTTCATCTTTTTTTTTTTTGATCTTCTTTAGCCCTGCTTTTTCTTTCTATGATCTAGCTTCTTTTTTTACAAAACTCCTTCCTTCAAGTAGACCAGGTTGTTCAGAGCCCCATCCAATCTGGTCTTGAACACTCTACAGAATCCTTTCTACATATCACAGAATCACAGAATATGCTGAGTTGGAAGGGATCCACAAGCATCATCAAGTCCTGCTCTCAACCCTGCACAGGACTGTCCCCAGGAGTCGCACCATGTGCCTGAGAGTTTCATTCAAACTCTTCTTGAACTCTGTCAGGCTTGGTGCTGTGACCACTTCCCTGGGGAACCTGTTCCAATGCCCAAGGGACATGAGTCCTCAACCTCTGGGTAAAGAACTTTTTCTAATATCCAGCCTAAACCTTCCATGACACAACTTCAGGCCATTCCCTTGGGTCCTTTCACTGGTCACCACAGAGAAGAGATCAGTGCCTGCCCCTCCTCTTCCCCTCACGAGAAAGTTGTAGACTGCAATGACATCTCCTCTGTCTCCTCCAGGCTGAACAGACCAAGTGCCCTCAGCCACTCCTCGTACGGCTTCCCCTCAAGGCCCTTCATCATCTTTGTTGCCCTCCTTTGGACACTCTCTAATGGCTTAACATCTTTCTTACATTGTGGTGCCCAAAACTGCACACAATATTCAAGGTGAGGACGCCCCAGTGCAGAGCAGGGTGGGACAATCCCCTCCCTCGACTAGCTGGTGATGCTTTGCCTGATGCCCCCCAGAACATGGTTGGCCCTCCTGGCTGCCAGGGCACTGCTGACTCATATTCAACTTGCCATCAACCAGGACCTCCAGCTCCCTTTCTGTGACACTGCTTTCCAGCATCTCATTCCCCAGTCTATGTGTATATCTGGGGTTGCCCCATCTTGGGTGCAGAATCTGCCACTTTCCCTTGTTGAACTTCATATTGTTGCTGATTGCTTAGTCCTCTAATTTGTCGAGGTCTCTTTGCAGGGCCTTCCTGTCTTCGAGGGAGTCAATGTCTTTTGTATCATCTGCAAAATTGCTTAGTGTCCCTTTCAGTCCTGCATCCAAGTCATTTATGAAGATGTTGAAGAGCACAGGGCCTAGGATGGAGTCCTGTGGAACCCTGCTAGTGACAGGTCACCAGTCTGATGTTTGCCCATTCACTATTACCATCTGTGCTCCACTCATGAGCCAATTGCTCACCCACCAAGTGATGTGTTTATCCAGCTGTGTGCTGGACATTTTGTCCAGAAGGATCCTGTGAGAGACAGTATGGAAGGTTTTACTGTAATCTAAAAACATTATATCAACTGACTTTCCTAGATCAACTACGTGGGTTAGCTTGTCATAAAAGAAAATTAGGTTTGATAAGCAGGATTTTCCTCTCATGAAGCTGTGATGGCTGTGTTGTCTTTCTGGTGTTTTTCAATACTTCCCAGAATAATCTTCTCCATAACTCTATCCAGTACTTAAGTGAGACAGACAGACTTGCAGTTTCCGGGGTCCTCTTTCTTGCCCTTCTTCAAGATCAGGACAACATTCCCCAGCTTTTAGTCAAGTGGGACCTCTCTGGATTCCCAAGACCACTAAAAAAATCATCAAGAGAGGTTTTATGACATCAGCCAGCTCTTTGAGAGTTCTGGGACGAATCCTATCAGGCACCATAGATTTGTAGGGATCCAGGTAGAGCAGCAGATCCCACACCATTTCAGGCTCGACTGGGAGTTGATCATTCTCACAGTCATGGTCCTCAAGCTCAGGGCGCTGAGACCCCCTTCGTCCATCATACATGTTGAAGACAGAGGCAGAGAAAGTGTTAAACACTTCTGCCTTGTCTCTGTCCCTGTTTGTGAGGTGACCATCCTCATACTGTCACAGACCAATGATATTTCTATACTGCTTATTGCCATTAATGTATTTGAAAAAGCTCTTTTTAATGTCCCCCACATTTCTGGCAACATCAGCTCCATCTGAGCTTTGACCACATGAATTTTCTCCCTATAGTAAAAAGTAACATCTTCCTGTGTCCCTTGACCTTGCTTCCACTGGACTCCTTAATTTTTTGTCTTATTTCTAAGAGAAGTTCCCTGCTCAGTCAAGCCAACCTTCTGCCGCTCCTGGTTGACTTCCAACATTTGGGGTCCTGTGTCCTTAGGACGTGATGTTTGGTTTGAAAAGTGACCAGCACTGATGGACCCCAGCACCATTTTCCCAGGGGACCTTACTAATTCACTTATCAGCCCAAAGTCTGCTCTCCTCATATCCAGAGGTGAGGTTTTGCTGGCACTTTTCCTCCTGTCAACAGAGATTTTAAACTCAATTTCTTTGTGGTCACCATGGCCCAGACAGCCACCGATCTCCCGTTTGAGACCCACTGGTCTCATGAGATCCAATCTGTTGAGAAGAAGCAGATCAAGGAGAGCATCTTTCTGAGTAGCTCTTGTGGGAAGATGGCTGGATGTAAAAATTAGAGGAAACTGAGAAGTTATATTATATAACATCCTAACAGAAGTTATAACGGTAAGGAAATTGTCGGGTAAAATGCAGCTACTACTCTCTGGATGGAATGACGTTGGCAGTTCCACGATGATTTCCCACACAACAGTAAGCACATACTAAGGGCGATGGAATGGAGGGTGGAGCACAGTGGAGACACCATGGCTCTGTAGAAACCCTTTCAGGGAAAGGAACTCTGTGGTACTTCACAGTTGATAAACCACATAGAATCTGTCACCCCACAGAGAGGGGAGAAGATGTCCTGTTGCTGAGCCAACAAATGTTGTTGTTGCTAGGATGAACTTGGTTCATTGAATCCTAATTGTAATATCGACTCACACCTCAATTTCAAAGTTACCCACCTCTAATGTATGACTATCCCCACCAGGTGTGCACTTCATATTTTTTTGACTGTATCTTTAAAAGCAAAGCAGAACAATTTTATATCAATCAACAACAAAGGTATTTATGACTAAAGTCACTCAGGCACCATTTAAACATAAAGAAAGAAAGTCAAGAATGAGGGAACTTTAGGGAAGACTCCATCATAATTGCTGTGATCAGTTGACAGGCTGAACTTCTCCTTTCCCCCCCATATAGGGACGCATATTGGGTAAGAACTACACTCTACCTGTGCTGAATAATTTTATTGCTTTGAATATGCTTTTGCAGTGAGATGCTCATCATCAGCAATCTTTGAACCTTAACCTGTCACAATTTTATATTGATAAAGAGTTCTATTCCATAAACTGTGCATGTGAGCCCTTCACAGTGACCAGCAGCTGCTGGCAGGGGGTAACACACTCAAATAAAGTGGGAATACCTGCTGAGGTGTCTCCCATACGCTGTTGGCATAGTTCTCTAAAAAGGGCAGTCAAATTGCCCCCAATCCAGCAGGATTGATCAGTGTAGGGTCCCAATAGCAGGACACTTGCAGACTGGTTGGGCAGAACCGTCTTGGCTTTCCTGGGGCGCTGACAGATAAATCAAACACTACAGGTTGAGGAAATCTCCCCTCACTAATGGGAGGGAAAATCTTCCCTTTTCATGTGACAGCTCCCTTAAGACCTGTTCCATAAAGTTTCCATTCAGGTTTTTTAGGAATCTTCTGACCTGGGCTGTACCAGCTGTGTGATGCTCCCAGTTAATTTCTGGCAAGTTGAAGTCTCCCATAAGGACATGGACAGTTGACTTGGAAATGTCCCTTAGTTCCTCAAAGAATAATTAGTCAGCACCATCATCCTGGTTAGGAGGTCTATAGCAGACTCTCAAAATGAAATTTGCATAATTTGTTTGCCCCTCGACTCTTACTCAGGGGTTCTCAATTGTGCCATTGCCAATTGTGAGCTCCATACATTCTAATCCCTCTATTGCACACAGTGCAACATCTCCACCTCTTCTGCCCTGCTTATCCCTCCTGAAGAGCCTGTAACCACCCAGTAGGGTTCTCCAGTCACAGGTCTCATCCCACCAGGTTTCGCTTATACCAGTAATATCAAATCTCTGGGACTGGGACAAAGTCTCCTCTTGTTTGTTCCTCATGCTGTGCACATTGTTGTCGAAACATTTTGGTGGTGGTACTGTAGCAAATACCTTGTGAGGTAGATTGAGGAAGCCCATTAGTGCTTGTTTGTTCAAGCTCTGGCACACCACCCCATTGCTCATCACTGATGAGCCTGGGTTTGTCTCTTTGCGCCTTCCAAGCTAGTTTAAAACTCTATCAACAAGTCCTGCTATCTCCTGTGACATAACTCTTTCTCCTATGGATTCATGGAAAGTATCGTACAGTAATAATAATTGAATCTGCAAGTCATCCTGAAAGTAAGAAATTGCAAATTAGTTTCTTCAAATTAATGTATGTAATGGCAGTTGTATAAACAATGTCTGAAAGGTGAGCCATAATCACATCTAGAGCATCTTCAATGTAATTTTTAATTCACTTAGTTCAACAAGAGAAAAAAAAAAGCAAAATCTATGCAGCAGAAAGTTCTGCATTTTATCCAAAGGATTATTTCTGTGCGGTTTCCTATTGGTTACCCTTATATATTTTAAGATCTCAAGAGTAGAGTATTGGATGTGGAATACACTACTATAATTTTTTTCTCACTAAAGAATTTATAGAGATTACTTACTTGGATTAAGTACACTGTCTGAGTGTTTCTTTCAATTAATTCCATCCCCGTGGATGGACTGTTTTTTCAGCTATCTAGGAAATGTCTCACTTGCAGATTAATTCATACAGAAAATCTAAAATTAATTCTGACCTGTTAAGAGGTAAGAAGTGTGCCCTGGAAAATGTCTTTCTGGTCAATAGGCCTTTGGTATCTCATCTTTTAAAGATAACATCTTCCAGACTCGGAGGAAAGACAGGTAGCCCCCCCAAGTGGGGAGGCAGCAGAAACTCTGGCAGGGTGCCAAAGCACCTGATTGCTTTCTCTTCCCTCCCACATTTTTTTTGAACAGCAAACCCTCAGAAAGGATGTACTCTGATCTCTAGAGGAAGCAAAATTTCCTGACCATAAATCAGCCTGCAAAGAACTACAGAAAGACAATATGTTGCTACAGTGTCTTAGTATGTGGGGTTGTTTCAAGTTTCTGTAAAATACAGCTGGTTCTAAGCATTTCAAGTTGCAGCTGTCCAATTACTGGATTTGTGGATGTGTAGTTTAATGTACAGTTTTCTTCTCTGTCTTTGGTGCTGAAACAAACTGCTGGTCAGCTTCCTAACACAAGGTTTGTACATGGTTTGTCCAAGTTCTTTTCATGAGCAATTTTGAAATAGAGTTACTGGAAGTACAACTTGAAACATGCATTTGGAAATTCTTCGTATAAAAATAAAAAACAGTGGTTAGATTTAGAAATTGTCTTTTGAATAAACTGACTGAGATTTACATTCCATAGATATGTGAATTCCTGCAGCAATTATTACAAGAAGAAATTATTAAAAAGGTTTTGATGGTTGGTTGTGTCCCTAAAAGTACTGCTCATCTTCACGTGCAAATCTATCCAGAAACAGATCTAAGCGAGCTGAGAAGAGACATCTGCAGCTCCACAATTTTGAGAATCATTGTACATAAATTCCAGGTGAGCGCTTACCTATGTAAGGTGGCTGTGGTTTCCAGGGAGGTACACCTTAGAAGTGTCTTTTCCTTTTTGTTTTCTTTCCCTTGCTGCTTGTAGGATACAAGAGGACCTATCTCATCTTTTACCAGTCGTCGTTTGGGAACCTTCTTGTGCAAAAATATTTTTGACTGAAAAATATCCAGGGACTCTCTGCCACCTTTCCATAGCCAAAACATACTGAGCAGCACGCCTGCCCTGCTGTAGGTTTCTTCTATGTCTCAGATTTATTGAAAGTTGATTAATATGCTAATAATTTAAGTGAAATGTTCACCTATTAAAAAAAGGCAAAAAAGAAGACTAAAGAATTCTTATTATAACTGATCATGCTGTCCGTGAGTCTCTGAAAAAAAGATGTGTTCAGGAGGCAGAACAAATGAAAGAGAAGATAAAATACAACCTTGTCTAATGCTAGTATTAAAAAAAAATACTTTGAGCAAGAGCAAAAATTAATTTCTGGAGAATTGAGAACAATAAGATGAAAGAAATAGATTCTGAAATTATTTTTTACATTACTGGGAAAAGACTGCCCCAAAGAATCCAGCAAAGTGCCTTCAGCAAGAAGAAGACCACACAATAGTTTAATTAACGTGGTATTTATTGTCTTTGTCTGAACTAAAGTCAGAATTCCCAGTTCGTATGAAGTTATAGTATTTGTCAGCATTTTAAAGTCTTAATTCACTTAATCTACAGTCTTCTGGACTTTCAACTTATGTCATGGTTGGGTCTCAGAACCAAAGGCAGGTAATTTTTTCCATTAAAAAGAGTGGTAGAGCATGAAAAAAAATTGAGACAAATTAAGACACGAAGCAATATGATTTTGAAAACCTAATTTATTTATTTATTTATTTAGTCTGTGACTTGTTTGCTCTGCTTTAATGTGGCTATGGAGGCAATGCTTGGGACATTCCTTAATTAAATGATGCATTGTAAAAGGTACAGAATTCTCTCTCAGAAACCGCATTTGTTATTGGACCACCACTCTCAATCGTTGGATTGAGAATTTGCAGGTCTCCTTCTGTTCTGCTTACATTTGGATGTATCAGTGTGCAAAAGATATTTTGGTAATTCACTTTTAGTTCCTGGGAACATTAAACAGCTTAGAACATCAAAGAGCTTTGACATTTGACTGTCAAAATTTTCTGCATTTTGACATTTGACTGTCAACAGTCTTTTTATTCTTATCTGAAAACTCAATTTCCTGATAAATCTCTATAATACAAGTTTGGGCTTTTTGTTTTGGATTTTCTTTTTTCTTTTACGGAAAAAGGGTTAAGAGATTTTTAGTTTCAATTCTTTCCTAATATATTTCACTTAACTGAAAGCTGCATGTAGGACATGTAGGATTCAAGGCTTTCCAGGGTTCTTTACTTCAAAATAGCAGTCTTTTTATTCACTGAGAGTCATTTCTATTCAAATAATACACAGGGAATGTGTACAGCATGTATAGAGACATGCAGATAAACATGCTGAGACAGGTATCCTGCCTCCCTTAACGGCTACATATTTCAGACTTGGTAAGGATCAAATCTCTTCTAGGTCATAAAGAAGGACTGTGGAGTAGAAAAGAGTCTTCATTTTTACACAGTTAATACCCTGTCCTGATTAGCTTCACATTCCTTTACCCTCACATCTTTTCACAGCTTCTATTGCAACTATGTCACAACTTTCAACCAGTGTTCACTGTACAAGTGGATAGTGGGAAATCCTGATTTTATATCCAGTTTATACAGTATATACAGTTCATACAGTATTTTTTAAACAACATTCTTTCTTAGGTGTTGGATCTATGTAGAGTATGTAACCGATGGTGTTGTGTTGTACCTGTTATCAAATAAAATACTTGTCTCATTTACCCTAAAAAACATGTTCAGGTGAGATTTAAGACAATCTAGAAAAAAAAAATTGAGCTTCAATATCATTGAATCATGTACCTAGTTCCCTTAACACTGTGACACAGGCTTTCAGGTAGCTGAGACAACTGAGATGTGGATTTCAAATACATATGTCATACTCTAAAACAGAAGATCGAATTTGCTAGAAGTCTACTTTTATGGTAAAATTAAAACTGTGAGGTTTTGAATACAGTAAGTTTTATACAAGCAATAACTTAAGCAATTAATCTCTTCCTCATCTTCACTCAACTTTGAAATTTGGCTTCCTACTTACCTCAGAAAGACTCCTGGATCATAGGAAGGTCATACAAGACACGGAGTAAAGAAAAAAAGGAAGAATATAAAATATTAATATTTTTACCAGTAAAAATATAAGTATAATATTGTTGGTGTAGTCATCATAAAGTTAGTATGCTAGGATCAGAGATGAAAAAAAATTTCTTAAGAGGAACACCCCAAATTCTTTTCTTATATTCATTTTTTTATATCTCCAAGATTCAAAATATCTTCTTATCAGACTGTAGCCATATATAAAGAAGGACTTTCTCAACACCTGGGCAAGTTCAGCATCCCTTGACTGATCATTTTTTAACAAATATTTTTCCCTCTACTCATTTTCTTTTCCCTTTAAATTTTGTTAGTATTAATAGAAATGGATCTGGTCAGACATAAGCAATATATATCCAAAAGAAGATGTGTATCTAAAGAATTTTTATCAAGTTTCTGATGTGGCAGTGTGATTTTTGGTTGATTTGAAACACAGGTTTATGGGAACACTGCAGAATAATAGGTACTTGTAAACATCAGCAGTTTAATCCAAGCCCTATCAAAGAAAGAAGAAAGACTCCTAATAATTTCACTAGTTCTTTGATTGGGTCTGCACCAAAGCTATTGCAAGATCAAGGTGGGAACTGCAGCTCAATTTTAGGTTTTAAATTAGGTGCATGATATGTTTTGACCTGAGAAAATTGCCTAGGTCCCTGATTTTGAAAAGATGCAAGCACATTCATAGGAATACATATGTGGAAAATCTTTTAAGGGCACACAAGCACTCAGGACCTCTCTACACAACTGAGTATTTGAAATAATAAAAAAAAAATGTTAACTACCTTTTATTAATGTTTTTTCTTGTTTAAGATGACCACATTAGAACTCATAATACATGATTCTGTAATAAAACAAAACAAAACCAAAACCAAACAAAAAAAAAAACCAAAAAAAAAACCAAAACCAAAACCCAGAAAAAATACGTGATATTTAAGGTCCCTTCCAACCCAAGCCATTCAATGATTCTATGACAAGAGTTCCACAAGATGACATAAGGTTCAATTTCAGCCTTGGGTCCAGTGCCATATAGCATATGCAAATCTATTCAGTTTCTATGCACAGACATTCTTCTAACAAGAGCTGGCAACAGAAAATCAGTGGCATCAAGTGCACAAAAAACAAGTAGTTCCCAATTATAATAAAATACTTCATTTCAAAAGAAAAAAACGTATTTGAGAAACTGTCAGTTCTGTCATTAGTGTAATTTATAACAGCTGACATAAAGATACTCTACATTGGACCTTGTTCAAACAATTTAAAATCACTTCTCCTGCCTTAAACGAATAAACCCATGACATAATAAAGTCAAAAGTCTTGTGCTGCTCTTGTTCATTACAGCAGATCTTTATAACCCAGTGTAGATGAGGTTGCATTACCTTTAGAAATAACTTTCTGTCAATGTGGAAATTTTAAAAATAGCAATGAATTCATAATATATGCTATTTCTCTTCATAGCAAGGTGAGTGCCAGGAAAACTAAAACTAAAACCAAACAACTGTAAAGCTTAATAAATTACAGCCAAGTTACTGTTTTCTGAAGTTTGTAGGTTAACACATATGCACCTACCAACATAAAAGTAAAATGGTAAAGGATGACTGTAGGCTGTAATTTTTATCATGCAATCATGCTTTTAATGTTGTCAGCACAATCTTTAAAACAAAAATTTCCTCCTCACTATTTCAATACAAGATTTTTTTTCAGAGATTCATATCAGCTTCATTCCAGTCTGAATTTATTCAGTTTGCACCCTTTGTCATTATTCTAGGAGAATTCTTAATTTTCCCATCACATTAATCTATTATTTATAATTTTTATAGACACTTTATTAGGTTTAATTTCTCCAAAGAAGCAAAAATTTCCTGTTGCCTGTGTTATTCATATACCTCTTTATCACTCCTTTTCAATTTCTCATCATTATGAAGGAAGTTCCAGCAAGGTCTTGTACAAAAACCTCTCTCTTACAGGGACATCATTTGAAATTTCCTTGAATTGAGGTTGTTCTCTCCTTTGTCAGAACACCGAATCCCTGTGTTACTGCAAAGTATAGCTAGGGCTTTCTCCTCATCTGTCATTTCCAGTGGTTCTCAGCTTAGAGAGAAAAATCATATTAGTCCATAAATTATCTTGAACGTCACACCAATAAACATTGTCCTATTTATATTACTAGTAGACTGCACACTTCAGACTGAGTCAAAAGGGCCAACCATTTCTTCCACTTGCAAATTATCCACAAATATGTAAAGCAAAAACCTGTCTATCTGTTACTTATAATGTGATAGTTTTTGACTCCACAGTCATAATCCAGATTTTGTTCTAAATGCACTATGTAAATGCACAGGTCCCTTCCTTGAGGTATAATGTTCAAGAAACTGTTGCTATGAATACATATGATAGTATATAGCAAGATTTTTTGGAACTAATTATTACAAGTGCCGTTGTGAACACTCACTGTACAGAATTTGGTGTTGTGTGCTGTTATTAATCAAAATTTCATAATCTTTTCAGCTCCTAAATAAGATAATTTTCACTCCCAAAACAAAATTTAAGGTGGACAGAAAGATTGAATTCTTCAAAATGACATTAAGTTAATCCCCTACTCAGTATCTGCTTAGTATATTAGTACTTCTGATTCCAATTGTACATGGAAGAAAGAACTGGAAAAGATCATCTAAAAAGCAATAGACTCTGAGTTCACACATTTAAGAAAATAATGGTTGTTTAGAGAAAATTTTATCTCAAAAGAAAATTGTCCTTTTCTATCAGACCATTACTGGAAAGAGAATGAGATATTAGGTAGTACATTACTGGCTGAAAAAAAAAAGGAAAAAATTAAAGTCTGTGTTTTTTGTGAAAGAACAATACCCTTTAGATGACAGAGGTAAAGATATCAAAACAATAGCAAATGAAATTCCTTGAAGTTTTAAGAAGCCTACTGTATTGTGTTTCACTTAAAATCCACAGTCCTTTATTAAGGAAGAAAATTTCTTCATGAAAAGAAACCTGGCTGACAGAAGAGCCAACAAAGAAGTTACTGTCATTGAACTCTAATATGTGTGTAATATGTAATGTTTTGAGGAAGGAGGGTGAGCTAATAGGCTGTGGAGCAGCATATCCCAGTTATTCCAGATTCTTCAATAAAAGTACAAAATATTCCTATTTG